GATATCCCCGCTTTCTTTTTATCTCTTTCTATTTTTCATTTTGAATGTTATTATTATCTTATTTAGTTCTATAGTTTTGTCATCTTTATTTAGTTACATTTTTTATATTACTCTTATTTTATTAATCTAAGGGGATTTCTCTCCGAGTACTCTTCTCAGAGTATAATAAATCCTTCTTTCTTTTTTTTCCTTCTTTTCTTTGTTACGCAATCTAAATATTTAATTTGTACTTATTACTATTATATAGTTATATATACATATATATATTTTTTTTTAGTTTTGAGAGGCACTCTTTTCTTTAGAACATCATTTTTTTCTTTGTCTCAGTCTATTTTTCTTTTTGTATCTCATGCATCCACATAAATCCGAACGAATATATTTCCACTCTGCGGAATCATCGATCGAATTGAATCTTCTCACTAGATATACAAATTATGGGCCCTCATAAATTTGTTAATTATAGATATAATCAATTTTTTTTTTCGACTTTGTGATAAACTACCAGAAAAAAAGAAAGCGAGAAAAAAAAGCAAATAATAAAAGTTGAAAATCTCAAATATGAAATCTATATTAATCCACCAATTTAGTCACTTTTTTTTTAATTGAAAAAATATTTAAAGAAAATAATGGGGAGGCAATATCGTTGAAGGAATTAATAATAAGAAGCAACACAAATTATTATATCAATGATAGTACGCGAATGTCACGATGTAGAGAATTCATTTCGTTTTAGGGATTGTTCAGCCGAATAGCATAAATATTTATGCACATACGCAAGCATTACGCGCTTGCCAGCGCATTAACGAGCACAATGCACTTATATCGTTTCATATACATACCAGCCGCTCAGGTGAGTGACGACCGCCCGAGCGTGATGTTCTTCTTAGTTTATTTTACGGTTCCTTACGGCTGTCGCTTTCTTCCGTTTATCATTGCCTCTGTTCCGCTTTTATTTTATTATATACCTTCTAAAGATGTAATAATATGCACAGCGTGTCGAATGAATAACGAAGATGAATGAACAAGTGAAGATATTGCTTGCGATGAGACGAAATCTAGAATGGATTCTTTTCCAGAGATTGAGTTGAAAATTTATATTTTTCTTAATCCGTGTGTTTTATTCACTCTTTCATGCATTTTACTTTGGAGATAGAGATAAATGATATCCGGCAGTTCGCTAAATTATACATATAGATTAGCGTACGTATAGAACTTTTTTAGATGCTGCGTTTTTGTTCGCACCGCACGGCGCGAGACAGCTACGTCATCAAGATCGATATCGATCGTATTATCGAAAGGGCAGTCGGTAGGCATGCAAGTCGAACGAGTTGGCGCGGTATCACCCCGTATCCTCTCGACTTGCTTCATAATCTTTTAAATATTCAGTTTGTACGCTCGATTTTACATTCACTACAGCGTATCGACCGCTACGCTGCACGGGCGCACGCGTGTTCCGACACACACGCGAAAACTATTGTCAGATCGCAAATTGATCCGCGATTGATTTCCTTTGGAGGAAATGAGAGGTCAGCTCTTGAATTATTATTAATTAAACTTGCTACTGATTTCAGAGTAACTTATAGAGAGTCAGAGAATAGTTCTTTGCGATTACGCAGTGTTCATGTTAAGCGTGAACGATTATCGAAAGTGATTCTTGATCGTATTTTTACGCTCGTTGAATCGTCAAATTCGACGATTTACTTCTCAAAGGACATTTATTTATTATTATTATGTGATATTTACGTAGATATTTAACGTCAAATTCAATGACTTATTTTTCAAAGGAAGTTCGTCTACGTAATACTTGCGAAAGAATCTTACATGTGTAAAAGGAAACGCGCTTGTTTACGTTAATTTGCGACGCATGATTTTGCGCACGCGGAATAATTAACGCCTCCTGTCCCCTCCCCCTTACTGTACACATTTAGTTTTCACGGGATAAAGTTCGACGTAACGAAGCGTCCGACGTTAACGAAGCGTTAAAGCGAAGCAGGTGGGTTGCATTAATGCCAACACCGGGAGGAATATAAAACGTATAATCGCGAAAGGTCGTATTAATAATAATAATAACAGGATAAAAATATACAATTTTTTTCTCGCGGGAACAACGCAGAGCCGCTCGCACGTAGTTTATATTTAGACTCTCGCGCTTAGAGCGAATTTATAGTCATTGCTATCGGGATCCTTTATGCACCGTCCCTTGGCGATATTGCGGTGTGCCTACACTCCTCTAACACTCTAGACCGACGGTTCTCAAACCTTTTTTTGTACGCGGCGCGCTATTGTGTCCGCTACGAAGGGACTCGTGATGACATGCTCCGTCCGAAAAATGGATCACCTTTATGAAATAATTTGCGAGTGTTGTCTCTCTCTCTCTCTCTTCTTTTCTTTTTTTTTTTTCATTTATCTTTTCGCGAAGATGGAGGAAGGTCGAGAGAGGAAAATTTTTAAAAGAGAAGTCACTATTGGTACAGATTTTGATTCTTACTCGGTGCGATGATCATGTCCAAATTTTTCACGCGGCACACCCTTTGAGAATCACTGCTTTAGACATTAGAGAAAGAGAGAATGCATCGTGCGTCTATAATCTCTCGGCTTTTTTTTCACGCGCGTGTGATGACACCCACGTGGTCTCGCTGCGGCTCCGCTCCGTGCACTCGCTCGCGCTCGCGCTCGCGCTCGCGCAAACGATTCGCATGGAGCCACCAGCCGATATCTATATGGTCGCAACCTTTCTCCTCTCGTGTGCTAATCAATCTGCGTGACTTCCTACGCATTTCGATTACGTAAACGCGGCATTGTGAGCCCGGCGTGAAAATTTAAAAACGCGAAATCAGGAATCCGCGTCTCGCATTCCGCGAACCGCGCTCGCCGACCCCCGCGTGCGAATCGGCCTGCCGGCCTCTGTCTTTACCGATATCTCATATTCCAATGACATTTGCGGATACATTCTGCCCCGCGAGGATTGACTGTCGAAACGCGCAATAGATCGTGCACTTTATATTACACGCGCGAAATTATTAGCACGCTCGACCGGAGGCGGTACGAATCGCCGTTGGAACGATTAAATTCAATCCAATCTAATCTTCAGGGGCATGTAATTAATTAGAAGCGCGTTTGACATGTATATAGAAGGTAATCGCTAGGCATTTCTTATTCATTTCGTTTTCCCGTTCGATCATTTAGCTAGATTAGACATTCATCGACGAAGTCGCCAAAGTTCGCGTGTAAGCGCCTTTCTTTTCAACATCCCACTTAAGGGATATCCTCAAAATTCGTCGTCCGAAGCACCGCCTACTCCGCTTAAATACGCCTCCGCATCTTCCATTTTCTTTTATTCTTCTTCGCGGAACTTACATCCATTTTTCGTCCTACCGCGCGCGGAACTTTCGTGGCGATGGCGACGGCGGCGACGGCGGCGACGGCGGCGAAGAAGAGATACACGCCGCCTATGCACGGGCGGATCCGCGCGAGGCTGCGCTCGCGGTGCCTCGAGGGGGGCACTCGCGCGCTCGCTTACTCGCTTACTCGCGCGGGGCACCTTCTCCCGCCAGGTACACCCATGTCTACCAATACGGCTGTACAACGTGTGCATATATATATATATATATATATGTATATATATATATATATATATGACAACCACGCATACGCCCGCTACTTTACGTAGTGCACGTATATACATGTGGTACATAACAGCACATGTATGTACTCACACGTGACAAAGATCCGCTTCCTTCTTGTATGCTCGACCGGCCACAACACCGCCGCCGCCACTGGCCGCGATACTCGTGGTGGTTTGCCGTACCGCGCCACGCTGCGCCGCGCCGCGCCGCACCGCGCCGGGCCCCGGCCCGGCCCGAGTAGCAAGTCACCTCCGCTCACCTCGGCGGAGCGCGCGCGCCCGACTTCAGTCCGTGCTCGGCCCGAGTCGTCGTGCAGTACGGAACGCGCAGGAGGCAAGCAGGCGAAGCAAAACAGGCAAGCAGGCAGGCAACTCAGGCAAGCAGGCAGGCAGGCAGGCAGGCAGGCAGGCGGATGGGCCGGCTGCTGTCGCGCGCAGCGCCCGAAACGACGACACGCAACGCACGCATGTAAATGTTGCCGCTGCCAGTTGATCCGCGTGCGCGTGTACACGAGGGAGATTGACCGGCACGTGACATACGGAATTGCCGCGCGCGATAACGAAACGCCTGTTATTATTCGCGGCAGTGAGATCGAGACTGGAGTATCGAATATCGGAGCGACTCCATCTCGAGGATAGAGACGAGGACTCGAGAGATCCGTGGTGAGTGCCTCCGCAGGGATTCTTGCGCAGGAACGGAGCGCGGGTATTATGTCACACTCCCACGCGAGCGACGGCCGCCGCTGCCGTTCCTGCCGTCGTCGCTGCTGCCGTTGCCGCGGTTGTTGCTGCTGCTGCGAATCTCAACATCCTCGTCGTTTGACATTTCCGCGGGCGTGCAACGCTTGACGGATCACACCCGCGCGCCTCATTGTGAATGTTATATCCTATATGTTGCTCGTTTCGTCCTGTCGTAGTGTGTTCGACTCATCGCCGCAACGTGACATTTTTACGCGAGATCGTAATTCGACAGTGAAATTCTTCTTGTCCACGTTTGCTCCGCATTCCAGTGTTATCTTCCGCTATCGGCTCGAAGAAAAAAATCGAAAACGTTTCCTGGATCATTCGCGCTTTGCCGGACGACGACGCGCCGTCCAACGGTCCCCGTGGAAGGAGGGAGAGGTGACAAAGGTAAATGTGCGAGAGAAAAGCCATTTGGCGCGAGCGCGCCGCGCGCGTTTTCCACGAGCGAAACCCGATCGCTCGGGTGGTGTCACGTATCGGTATGGCACGCGATACGGCGACACGATGGCGATTCCGCTCGACTCCGCTCTATTCCGCTCGATTCCGCTCGATTCCGCCGCGCCGTATCGGCTCGGTACGGCGGATCGATCGTGACGTCGGGGTATGAAATCGGTAATGAGCTGTAAATCTCTCCGACTAGTACATCGGGCCGCGTGTGCGGGTGAGTCACACGTCACGGATACCGCCGACACGCGCGTACACATACATACACGTATACATGGATACACACGGACACACACACATACGTTACACGGCACATATAATATACGTAGACGGCATATACGTAGTCTTCCTTCGGCGTATTCTTTTCCCTTCGGTAGAAAATCGAAGGAAAGGATAATAAGCGAGAAATACACTCTCTCTTACCCGCCGGCCGGTTCCGTGGTTGGCCGCGCGCGCGTGGGCGTAAACGAGAGAGAGAAAGAGAGAAAAACGGTCGGGAAAGAAGGCGAGTGAGAGGAAGAGAGAGAGAGAGAGAGAGAGAGAGAGAGAGAGAGAGAGAGAGAGAGAGAGAGAGAGAGAGAGAGAGAGAGAGAGAGAGAGAGAGACAGATTGTGAGCGCGGTGCGACGTGTAGAGGCGATTTTCTGAAAAAAAATCGACGGTGAAACCTTCGTTAACGTTCAGTTTAGACTCACGTACTCACGTGCCGTCCATCGCCCGCGGGAGATAATCCCGTTTCGATCGGATCGATTCAGCTTCAGAGAATCGTCAATGTGCGCGGCGAAAGCGCGGCGTAGAGACATCGACGCGAAAATCATCGACAGACTCGGATTACCTTTAAAATCAAAACGAGAATCATTCGGAAAAAAAAAAAAAAATAAGCAGCAATGCGACTTATTCTCGGAGCGATAATTCAACCGGTGCGAGCAAATATTAGCAGTCATTTGCGAATTGATTATTTGCGACTGGGCTTTCCCGGCGAAAGAGGCGTGCGCAAGAATATCGATGTACGCGAATCGCTGACGAAGCAGAATCGTCTCCTCGAGAATGACTCCTGAAAATCCACGATAGAATCGTACACGCGATCGATGCGCGGTTTCGCCTTACGACGCCGCGACGTAGAGAGGCGCGAATCTGAGAGATCGATGTGACGGCATAGACGCTACTCGCAATTATGCGTATAATAATAGTCGACTTCTCTGCCTGACGCGTGCAGGAATTCGACCAAATTATAGCAAGATCCGTGTCCGAAGCACGCGAGCTGTTAATCTGACGATTCACTCATTCCTCGATGATGTAATAATATTAATAATAATATTGTAGAGTACAATAGGTATGGAAAAAAGAGGAATAAACGTAAAAGGAAACCTCGCGTGATAATTTTACGTTCTATCCGTCTGGACTCTTTACCGAGGTACAACTCGTTATTTCGCAAGCGACATCCGAGCAAGAATTTTCCTTTGGAAATTTGCATTCAACGAGCCTACGATTTTTTTACACGATTTGGATCTTATTTTTTTTACACGATTTGGATCTTATTTTCTAATTCTGGCGGAATTATTTGCGCGCGGTATCCGAATTACAGCATCGCCAGCAGTTCGGAATCTGACTCGGATCTGATCCTTCGTCGCGTTCGATTCTCGATCTCTTAACGACGAGGAAGAGTCTCGTCCGAGCGAGCAGCCTCCCACAACTCACCGCGCTACGTTGGAAACTCACGCGAAACTCTACGAGATACGAGATGCGAGATGCGAGATGTGTAACGTTAGAAAGCACTCTGTAATATATTGATTTATATACGCTTGTCGATTTATCGAGAGATATTCGCGCGGTCTCCCCGCACGCGCGCAACAAGCCTCGCGAAGGTTCATTACGAATCGCTCGCGTCCGCGTCGTGATTACGCACATCATGCGCCTCTACGTGTACACAAGTCTACACAATTCGGAGATGCGTATCACAGAAAAGACGAAAGGAGGAAGGCGAGATAGACGACGAAACAAGCACCATAGAAATGTAATAATTTAGCGACTTCTTCGCCGTCGCCGTCGCCGTCGCCGTTACGCGCGCATTCCTCCTCGCTTTCATGTCATCGGCATCCTCGCGATCAACCGATGCGACGAACGAACATCGCGCGTCGTATCGATCTGGCATTATGATTATTATTGCGTTACGCGTCTCTCGCCTTTGTCTCTCTTTGTGTGTACGTATGTGCGCGTGGAGGTTGTGGAGCGTGTGGTTGTGTACATCGCGGATTGAGACCTCTGTTAGAGCGGCACGTACGTACGTACGTATATATGCGCGACCATCGCGCAACTTTACGATTTCGTCGCGTACAGATCCCCGTCGGCGAACGCGTCGCGCATTGTGCCGTTCAACCCGCTCCGTCTCTTATCGCTCGGTCCCGCGTTAGGCGCGTGTTTCGCGATCGCGAAGGAATCGTTTTTTTTGCTATTGGTTTTCCTCGTTTCTCCGCTACGCGGGTCTCTAGGCATACGATCGTTTCGTAGCTCGTGTTCGCGCCGAAGATACGGATTGCCGCGATATTGGATCGCTTATCGCATCTTTAATTCTCTCTCAGAGGAATAACTCTCGGGAGAGTCTCGGATTTCCGACGTTTCGTCGGAAGGTGCGGCAAAATAGTAGTATACACGTCGACCGCGCGAGTCGGTCATCGCAATCGAACGAGCATGGTGCGCGAACGTAATGAACCCGGGTATCGGGTATCCCTTCGGTTTCGGTGTTGAGAGTGCGTTTCGCGCGCTTATAATTGCTACTTTTGCCAAGGGAAACGCGGGCGTTTTACCGTTCGCAGTCCGACCGCGCGGGACCGGTAATTTACTGTCGATCGATCCGCTTTACTACGATATCGCGGCAGTTACCGGCGTGATTAACGTCCGAGCGCTTAAACGGCACGAATGTACAGCGCGTCCCAACTGGGTAGTCGACGATTTCCTACGAGGAAAATTGAAATCAGAGGTTTGTCTTTCTCTCGATGCTGTGTTCCTCACCGAGTCCAAATAGCGTTGAATATCTATTTGATATGCCGTAAACTCTCGCGAGAGTGGCACGCACTTGTCTGTTATCGTACGAGTAAGTTAACGGCTAACAGAGTCGATAAGAAATCCCCATGTAATGAGACTACCGCGATTCCGGAAACGCAAAATGGTATACGACGTTTACCGATTGTTCTCCTCTATCTTTATTTTTCGATCATAAGAATAATTGGAAGATGTAAATTTCTAATTGAAATATTAAAAGAATTTTATGCAAGCGAGAAACGATTTAAATTACATTAATTTACACTTGTTAATCTTTGCAAATTGGAATTTTCTAATTGTGTGTCTTGATTGTAATAATTTTTCGTCTTTTTGTGTCTTGGACGATTCCTAAGAACGACGCATCCCTGCGCCGATTCTCTTTGTCGATCTCCCCGATCTGCGCCCGAATTCTTGCCGTTCATTTCCTCGATCACGAGCGAGAAAAGAATGCGATTTGACGATCGTTTTCGTGCAGCGGTAACTCATGCGCGAGTGATTATAGTTATTTCATAGATACCTTTGCACGACGGTTATTAACGTTCAATCGCCAAGGCACGAATAGAAGTCGATCGGTATCCATCCGATCCAGATGCCGATCGTTATCCGACACGGCTTTTCGAGCCCTCCGCTTAGGTGAACCCCCTTAACCCGCTCGCATTTAGAAATTAAACGGACACTTTCATTAACCGTGGGTTTAAATTGCATTTAAATTGTGGGGAGAAAGGGCGCAAGAGAGAAAGAGAGAGAAATAAGAGTTACATAACGAGGGGATTTAATAGTGTTCCGTTAGGTATTCGATTTGAAAGTCATTCGTTCGAGAATATTTTACAAATCCGCCGCAATACCGCCGAATACAAAGTCCTTGTTGCGAACCGGAAATGGAAATTAATTCAAAGTTCATTAATTCATCCGGTTAGTTTTTATAATTTGTAATAAGTCGAATCATTACGTATGTGGTCACGATCTTACTCGTGACTTTTTACTTTGTAACTATATTTTATTGTTTCGCGTTTTCCGGCAAAAGTAACACTCCATCTTAAATTCATAACGGTCATCGACATGCAAGTCGCGCGGAGTCTTTTTTTAAACAGCGCTTCCCGATCATCCTCTAAATGCGGACGCGTGTCGTTAACGGCCGAGTAAATGGGATTTGTTCTTCTGATTTAACAGGCGGCGCGCGTGCCCTCGAAGGCGAGGCGAAGTCAACACCAGGGAGGATCGCGCCGCACGACGAATCTCCGTCAACAGGACGATGCGCATCGTCGTCGTCATCGTCGTCATCGTCGCGAGTGTATCGTTCTTGCCGTTGTACGTACAGCGCGAGTGAATTACGAAAAAAGAACGTAAGAAAATAAGCGGGGACGAAAAAGAAAGCGGAAGGACCAAGAGAGGGAGAGAGTGTGCATCTCGCAACGTGTGTGAAATGGATGGTACGCCAAAGAAAAGCGAAGCAGTGCTAATATATGGATGCCCATGGGTGGAACTTGGCCGAAATGTGCCAGCGCTACCATCACGCTATACCGGCGACAGCGGCGGCGACGCAGAATTCCTCGTCAGCTAGAGATCCCTCGGCTGCCATCGCGCAAGGCCTGTCAACCGCCGCTCACATCGATCAAGCCAGCCCGTCTTATTCGCACTACACGTAAGTCCAAACACTCTTGTCTCTCTTTCTTTTTTCCTCTCTCTTCTCATACTTATTTCATGAATATCCGCACACCGGCGGGATAATAAATTTAACGCGTATATACCGCGAGAGCGATCGGATTGGATCGCGCGCGCCTTCATTAGGCGAATTTGCACTTCGACTTGGTTCGATTTTTCTAACAACAAAGCGAAAACGTCGACGTCGTTGGGAAACGTTTGGGAACGGAGAGAGAGAGAGAGAGCGCGCGAGCCCGCATTTCGGCGCGGTTCGAACCACGCACGTGGCCCATGTCTCGTATACGTATAATATATATGTATATATCGCGGAGCTTATCGGTGAACCGACCGCGCCCGGGCCCCGTTCTCAATTGTATCGTATATATTAATAACGATACGGCGAATTAGGGATAAGTATACGTACCGCGCGGTCAGGACCCCCGTAATCCTGTTATTAGCGCGGCGATTAGGGGAAGATGATCCCCGGGCAAATTGCAGGGGCGTGCACCGCGCGTGTTTGGTTAACATAATCGCCAATCGCTATCGCCGATCCGCGCGAGTCCCTCGGAAACGAGGAGGGCGATATATGCGAGGCGACGCGCGGACATGCGTTTCTCTCAAACCCCTCGTCGGGATGGATCTGCGTGCACGCGCGGACGTGCGCGTGCACGTCGTTTCCCTCTTTCCAAGTTTTCTTACTTTCCCTCCCTCGCGCGTGTATTCGGAACGTTGTGTGTTGGAAATCTATTAAATTGCAGTTTACGCTCGAGATTCAATGTTTCACTATTATTACGTCGTACTGCGAAGGCGAAGAGGATAAAAGTAGGCTCTCACTCTCTCTCTCTCTCTCTCTCTCTTTCTCTCTTTCTCTCTTTCTTTCTCTTCCTCGACCCTTTGGGACTGCTAAAGAGGAGGTTGGGAAAATAGCATGCGCGCTGCCGGCCGCGCGCGTTGCCGGCCGTGTGTTTCTAACGTATCGTGTAATTTCAGCTATTTCTTATCTCGTTTGCCTGCAGTCTTATTTGCTTGTGCCCTCTTACGGCGATACGTTCACGGGGGGACCTTGTGAGAATTTTGCGTTTAACATTCGTCGCTTTTCAACCGCGCGTTTGCGCGAAATCAGCGGAGTCGAAACTCGAATGGGAAACACAAAATGTGAAGAGGAAGAAGAAACTCGATGTGGGAAACGGTTTCTTTAAAACAATATCATTTTTTTATTCAGAAAGTTGTCGACTTCAATTTATTAATATAATAGACAAGCATGCACGTGTCGTGTGTGCGTTTGCGCGGCCAAAAATTCTGCTTCTGCAACGACGCGAATCTTTCGACCTCTTCCTCCGACGACGAAAATCAGCTCTATTAAAATGGTTCCGCCCGGTTCCCATCCGTTGCTCCGAGCCGTCGCACGGATCGCGTACCATGTCACGTTATTTTATATGAACGCACGCACGCATGCACGCACGCACGCACGCTTAGATATTCTTACAGTTTTTTATGCGAAGAAAAAGACTTAGAAATCCGAAAGCTGTAACTTATGGAAAATCCATAACTTTTGCTCGATCAAAATGTCTCTTCTTAAAATACAAAGCTCGAATTTAAGTATTTAAGTTGAATTTAAATAAAATTTCGAAGCAAATTTCTCCGTAATACCTTTGAGAGAGCAATCACGTTTGTTACAATTTATGTCGTTAAGTCGTTCATGAATCTTCGTCGCGAGTTTCGAACACCGCGACATGCAATTCTGTAATAACATCGATACGTGCTTACTTGTTGATTGATTCTCGTATTTACGAGGCAGAATAAAAGTTTTCAATTGAATGCGAGAGCAACTGCGAGAGATTGACGACTACTCATCCGCCTCCCCGATCATTCTCCCGATCGTCTCCATTAATTCGCCCTCCTAAAAACCCTCATTTTTCACTCAAAGTGACGATTTTTAAATATCTACATAATTAATATCTCTACAAGATGTTTATCGAACTGCGAATTGTCGCAGAACTTTGCGTAAATTATGTCGCAAGTTAACTCTCGTTTTTAACTCTCGCGTGATAAGAATTGATATTACGGCACGGCTGGGTGTTGTGCCGATCCGTTCGATCGAGAGGCTCAATTTGCAAACATTGACTATATCGACGAAACGTCAATAATTCCGCGAACGACACGCTACGCCACCACAGTACATGCACACACATCTCGGTTTTTTTTCTCACTACTGGTTGGGAATACCTAAACGTCGCAGACTCTTTGAAAATTGTTCCTTTTTTTCTTACTCGCGGATTTTCCGTTCGAACGGAGGTTATCTTTATCCTTTGTTTCCGAGTGCAAAATTGTGATTACGAAGCGGTAACGTCGCGCTTGACCCCCTGACGTGTGATACCTGTGCCGCCGGTGACCTTGTAATTTCTACGATTGCGGTGACTCAGATTGGTGACTTGACGATTGAGCAATGACTGGCGGTTAATTACAGATTAATATTACAGTTACAGTTATTTGGAACGTACGTGTGCGTTCCACGTTCTTGTACACGAGACGTAGGGATATGAGCGACGCTGATTCTTGGATTGATTCGCCGCGCGCGCAAGTTACATTCCGACTAATCATCCATATTATTTAATTATAATTCCTCCGATGTATTTGCATGTGCGAGGTAAAAAAAGCTGGGGTTTCGTTTTAAATGCCACCGCTATTGTTTCTGTGATCTATCTAGCGAGTACGAAGAAAGAGATCGCGAGATAATAGATCCATATTTGCGTCATAAATGTAACGGTGGTCATAGCAAGTTGTCTTGAGTTGGCGAACTTCAGCGGTCCTCGGGTTCGCGGATACGTCTGGTAAACATGTGCACGCGTAATTTTAGGACGATCGTAAATCTGTGAGATGTTAATGGCAATAACGATGAATCGAAACTCATTTACAGCTACGTAAATTTGCATCGTTGCAAACAATGGCCACATGGATTAACGAATTAAGGCGGCAAAGTGCCCTGATACGATAAGCACTAGATATTATTTCCTGGGAGCGCTTCGTTAAAAAAAAAACCATTCAAGCGGGAGCAGCCCGTCACGTATGATAATTTCACGCGTATGACATTCTGTCCGATGATCCGTCGCCCAGTCCGACGATTCGTTGTCGAAGTCGCCTGCGCGTCGCTCGAAAGAACTCAATCGTCATTAAAAAGCGCTTTGAATCGTAAGATATACTCGTGGGATTTTTATGAACCGTTACGTGCCACGAGTTCGCCACGACACACAAGTTCCGCAATTAACGCAACCGTATCCCGAACTCGAGCCGCCTGCCTCGTCCTCCGGCAGTTAGCCTGGGAATTTTTCGCCTCTCGACGTTATATCTCCGCTGGTATCGCGCGGGCGCGCGGGCACGCGGACACCTCTTCCCGTGAGGTGCCGTGTAGAAATCTTCGATTCTTCCTTACTCGGTCGCAGGAAGTCGTACGTAATGACTCCGCCGTTGGCTCGGAGGTCAGAGAAGGGTATACAGCGACGGGATACAGCGGACGGACGAACGGACGGACGGACGGACGGACGGACGGACGGACGGACGGACGGACGGACTTTGCGGCGTCCGTTCCGCGGTCTTAAACAACTCGTAAAGGTTTCGGGGATGCGCTTTCTTCGTTCTCAAATCTGAAACGCGTCGGAGCGTTAGTAGTGCAGAGGTGAGCGGTTGGGGTCGTCACTTCCGCTTACCAACCGAACCACATTGGGCATTCGATTTGAAAGTTTAATCAGAGGCTTATATAAAATTACAGTGGCCGTTCGCTCGCAGGAATTCCGCTGTGTGTGTGCTTTGCGGCGAGGATCGACGGATCCATTTGATTTATACCTATTAGATCGATTAATGACATCGTCATCCTTAATGTTGACGGACAAAATTTTTTATTTTCGGCGGCGCGCATTTTTGGTGTATAATCATTGGTATATAATCGATTTATGTGGCGCGTGATCGGCGCCACACACCATACGTTTCGAGTATCGACGCGAATACAGATCGATTCCCACCCACGCGCGTACGCTGGCTACGCGCGTCATTTCGCCGCTTTTATGCGACTGCACCGCGTCTCGTCGCCTCGTCGTCGGGCAATGCAAGGGTGTGTTCGATCGGCGCGATTATTTGAATAAAAATGCGCCGTCGTATAAAACACGCCGATCCGCGCTTTGCGCGCGCGATCGCGACTACCTTCCTCCTCCCTTGCTCCTCTCCGCGAGATCCCCCCTTGGGCGTCCGCCGGTTTGAAGGAGCGGAAGGGGGGGGGGGGAGGGAGGGAAGAAGGGAGACGAATAATTTAACCGGGGAACAAGTGTGTCGGTGACGAGGAGAATCGACGAAGGGAACGAGCTCGAGTGCGAGCGCGATCTGGTCGCTGCCCGTT